GATGGAGGTCGGTGTGGATTGCCTGCCTGGATAGACGAGGCCAAGCAGCGTGAAGGAGGGTCGCCGGCGAGGAGGCGATGCTGCAAGCAAGGAGTGAAGGTTTCAACTTGGAAAAGAAGGCGGAAACAGGGGAAATGTGGCTTTTGGTAGGGGGCGGGGAGGTAGATATTTCCGCGGAAGCCGAAAATTTGGAATCGCTTCAGCGAAAAAACTAGCGGCAAAGTGTCATCAGACACGGTCCCTTATTCAGAGCGAGCTGTGGAATGTAGCCGTCGCACCTTCTCGCGTAAGCCGTATGCGTACTATACTCCCACGATGCTCCAAGATATTTTGTGCTGCATCTCACATGGTTGGTTATAATAAACCATGTGTGATCTACTTGATTTTTCGTCTTGATTTGAATTACATAATGGGGTCACAGCGGCAATGGACGGTGTTTGAATTGCTAGACTTTTTATCTGCAGTGAACATGCAACTATATGTGTGTCGTAAAAGAATTGGAATTATTCAGGGTTCGTTTGGACATTTTATACATTAAATTAGTTTTCTAGCCATTTCAGGTGCACAATTCAAAATTAAACTACATGCACATGCTCCGATGCACCAACATGGGTTGTAAAATCATATATATGTCCATGGATTTATGCTTATGTCCCATGCAAGAAATGGGGATGAATTTCGAACACCACGGCGCCGTGGCTCTCCGGCAAACGTCGACGTACTTGCTTTCGTAATTCTAGTAAGTCCAAAAGTCGTCCAAAATTTATGAAACTTGGCATGTTATCATGGAGCGGCATCAACATGTCGTGGTGAAATTTTTGTCCCATTTGGGGCAGGTTTGGGTATAAGCTTCTCATAAACCAGAGCTTCTCACAACAAGTGTGATGATTTCGGTAGGGAACGTTTCACCTTTCTAGACGAAACGATATCCGTTGCCTCTTCTCAATTTCAATTTTTTTTTCTAGTGTCAACATAGAACAACAGGAGTGTTGTGTCAATTTTTGAGATTTTTCGGGGTTTGCTTGGACATTTTTATACATTAACTGGGTTTTCTATGCATTCATGTGCATAATTCAAATTTGAACTACATGCACATGCTCTAATGCATATAAATTAGTTGAAAAATCAAATATGTGTCCTTGGTTGCATGCTTAGGTCTCATGCAAGAAATGGGAATGAATGTGAAACACCCTGCCACCGTCACTCGGCCGCAAACATTGATACCTGATTTCTAAATTCTAGTAAATCCAAAGCTCGTCTGAAATTCATGAAACTTGGCATGCTGTCATGAAGCAACATCAACATGACATGGTAAAAAATTTGTCTCATTTGGGGCAGGTTTGGGGATATGTTTCTCACAAACCAAAGCTTCTCACAACAAGCCTGATGGTTTCGGTAGGGAACGTTTCACCTTTCTAGACGAAAGGATATCCATTGCCTCTTCTCGATTTCAACTCAACAAACATCTTCGGAGATACCTGTAAAGCATCTTTATGATCACTCAGTTACGTTGTGACGTTTAATAGCACACAAAGTATTCCTTCGGTATCCGGAAGTTGCATAATCTAAAGGAATATGTATTTGACATGAAAAAAGCAATAGCAATAAACTGAACGATCAATATGCTAAGCTAACGGATGGGTCTTGTCCATCACATCATTCTCCTAATGATGTGATCCCGTTATCAAATGATAACACATGTCTATGGTTAGAAAACCTTAACCATCTTTGATCAATGAGCTAGTCTAGTAGAGGCTTACTAGGGACACAGTATTTGTTTATGTATTCACACATGTATTTAAGTTTACAATCAATACAATTCTAGCATGAATAATAAACCTTTATCATGAATAAGGAAATATAAAATAACAATTTTATTATTGCATGTAGGGCATATTTCCTTCATGCACACCCTTGTGGCCGCCGCGAAAAGATCTTTATCACTGTCAGTACATTGGCGGTTGCGATGGGTGGTCTGGAATGACATGGGTCCAAGCCAACTCCCTTGGTCTCCTCTGACCTGTGCGCTGCGCTGGAAGCCACACCGGCTCTGGCAGCCACCCACCACGCCGCCTCCAGAGCGGAGCCGGCATCCACTGCAACCGCGCGCAAGGCGTCCCGGGTCTCCCTCTCGGCCTCCTTCTCGTCGGAGCTTCCCTCTCTCGCTCCCCTGTCGCGGCCAAGGCTCCGCTCCATCATCGTTGGCTCCGCCTTCGGTCTCATCGTCAAGGGCGGCGCGAAGGCGGACGGCCCCTCCCGTCCCTCGGCATAGGCAACCGCAGCCGCGTGGTGGCAAACCAAGCGAGACCGCCGCTGCATGGTCATCAGGCCTCCCTCCCCTTCCCGGCGGTCCATGCCCTCAGGCGGCCGCACAACTTCCCTGCCTCCCAGCCGGGTCCGGACTCGAAGCTCCCCGCGGCGCTCTACCGTTGCTTCTACAACTACGGCATTGACGATGGCTACATCTCGGTGGAGTGCACCAACCCCACTCGTTGTGTCCGATGCGGGGGCGCCAACCACATCTCGCGCGGCTGCACACGGCCGCACAGCTCGTCCCCGGTGTCCCGGCCCCCGTGCCGGCCGCCACGCTCTGCCATGACTCGGCCACGACCACCACCCGCACAGACCTTCCAGCAGCGCCTCCGCCACCGCCGCCAGGGGTCGTGCGCTTCACGCCGCGGCCTGGACTTGAGGTGCTGCCACCCCTGCCGAGTTTGTGCAAAAATATATCAATGTTTGTGAAACCAAATAGGAGTATGATGAAAATATATTTTATCATGAATCTAATTGATGGCGTACATGTTTGTGTACTATTGTATAAATACAGTCAAACATAAAAAAGTTTTGACTTATCAACAAAGTTGAAAATACACTCTTTCAAGGACGGAGTAAGTAGGCGTGGACACGATATGAGCAATGGAGATCGGGAGCTGCATGCACTTTTTGTGTTTGTGGCCGCATATCTCATGACCGTGTCAGAGAGACTGAAGATTTCGGACAGAGATCCAGTGCCTTGCCCACAGCAAGGCACGGCGTAACTGGCGACCAGCCAGTCGTTGGATCAAGGGGGCGGCTCAGATCGAATACTGTTGCGCAGAACACTGTACGGGGTATTGTAGAGCGAACACTGTAGGCGGGGGTACTGTAGACCGAACACTGTAGAACTGCCACTGTTCACGCATTGATTCTACTTCGGGCGATGTGAAGAGGGGGGCCAGTCACCGTACTGTTCATCGGTGCCTTGCTCACAGCAAGGCACTGGATCTCATTCCGAAGATTTCACCTATTTTCTGTGCTAGACCCAGCCAGAGCTCATTGACAAGGCCAGTTGCATCTTGGAACCACTGTGTTGGCTAGACAAAGCACCTGATTGCAAGCATGACCAAATCAAGAGCTAGCAGACCAAAAGAATAAAGGGATACAATCACAGCTGTTTTCGATGCAGCTCCACGCTTCGACTCAGCAATCCATCTGGTGTCGCATCGATCAAACACGCAATCATTGTGTGGTTGGTTTCCAAACGTGGCTTTTGATCGTGTCCAGTCCCATCTCAAGTAGCCGGCTCCTCAAATATGCCAGTGAAGTCGTCAGGTAGCACACACGCACCATATGGTCTCGTTCTCCCGGCTGCAGAGGGGGGAAAGATGTTGAGTGTCCAGTGCCCAGCATTTGTTAGCCGCAGGCCAGGCAAGATCATGCACTTGGCTAGTGCCCAGCATTCGGAGATTGGACGCCCGAGGACAATTCCTTCAAACAGTGTCTTCATAAGCAGACTTGGCGGAGAAATAATACCATATGAAGTAATCTTCGTCTCGTTGGCGGACTGGGCATTGAAGTTATACGCCAGAAATGAATTAGCAACGACCCCCGCGTGGTGCATACTCCCTCCTGACCCCCGCGTCGCCCGAGGCGAC